AATACAACCACCTCTTCCACCGAGTTACGACGGCCCATTTAAAGTGATAGAGAGGACAAATAAAACGGTTACCATAGAAAAAGCTGGGAAGACAGATGCAATTAGCATCGATCGAGTAAAGCCAGCTTTCGTCGATAGCGATAATCAGTCAACAAGTGCAGACTCATCTTAGATGGTCACACCAGCGAAACACGAGTCCCAAAAATCAACAACGTTAACGCAACAAAAAGACAAGACTCCGATAACAACAAGATCCAGCCGCAGAGTAAGATGGCCCCAACAATACGTCGATACGATTTTTTATTGATGATCTTCTACTATTTTAAATATTAATTATAACTTCATCTTAATTTTGTATAAGCCATTTTTTTCAAACAATTGAAACTACCCTATTCAGTCTATTTTTTTATGCAAACACAGACATTTTCCATATATCATTGTTTGCAGGGGGGAGCTATTATGGCGACTCACGTGCAAATGGGTTTATTCTCATTTAACTCAGTTAAGCCCTTTTGCTAACTTATTTAGCGGACAAAGTCATCCGCACTATAACAATTTATTGTACCCTTATTATTATTTTGTGCTTGTATGAAATACGCATGCTTGAATATTGCTTACGGCCTACGCATTTATGTCACTCTGCTAGTCTCACTACTAACCGCTTATTTGATTCGATTACTCATTAATTTCACATGCTATATATATGTCCACGTTATTCATATGGTTGACACTGCTTTCTCGCTCGCTTGATTGTACTCGATTACTTACATTCGCTCAGTCGCTCGCTTGCCTGTTTGCCGTTCGACACAACTTTTAATGCTCGTTTAATGCCTCTGTAATTTTGGACATCTGTGTGTGGTCTCGAAATAAACGTAATCAACGCTTCGTATTCGCCTTCTGAATAATATACCGTTGGGGTTAAATATGACGGTTATCAAGACGAATTGTATACGAAGTTTACGGGATATATCGAATACCGACCACCACATTGCAATCAAAATCGAGCTCATTTAGTACTTGTGCTTCGCACTGAACAAGTTTCTCACAAGAAACAAATGCATTATGAGGACAAAATAATATTTGAAATGACATCAAGATTTGATTCTTCTGAGATTGTTTCCTCAAATTTATTAGGAATGGCATTGGAGAGCATAGGATCGATAGAAAAACCAACATCCATCAAAACTACATCAGGTTTTCGAACATAATTATGTTCACTCAACATATTTTCCTCAGATTTGCAAGGAATTTCGTTAGAAATAAGTGAGTCACTAGGATAAACGAAATCTGGTACAATAACACGAGAAATCTGACAAGTTGATTGATTAGGAACAGTTGTCTCGCAAGAATTCGGAATTCCATTTAACTCTGAACAGCCATATGACTCTACACTGTCTATTGCAATCATCGATAAAGATAGATGATCATTAGGAACACTGGACTTAATAGAATCAGAATTAAAAGACTTAATATTAGTTACAGCAAGATGAACAATAGTATTACAAACTGACTGAATATGTCCAATATCAACACATTTAAAGCACTAATAATTACGAAATTTACATGAGTTAAAAGAGTATAACCTGCCACAGGACAAACATTGACCAGACTTGTGCCCATCTTCGTGAACTACATCGCAACTCCTCAATGAATTAGCGGCATAACATTGAGTATAAACTGGGTTGGGATGACGTAATGCAGTGGAATTTTTCATATCCTAATGAATCATTTTACTAAATCTTCCTCCTTTACGACATTCGAAATTTGTATACTGAACATAGTCTAGCAGTAGATCCTTGAGAGCTGTACAAGGAAGCAAAATGGGCTTTTCCGGTAAAGCCAGAGTTTTTTATAATCTATATGCTTCTTTTCCGATGAATGTGAGGAAATGTTCTACAATATTAATATCCTCATCATCTTCTTTGGTCATAGCCCAGATTTCGAACCTTTCAAAGTAATCCTCAAGAGCTTCAGAAGTTGAATGAATATCTAACTTTTCCATCGCAGGCTCCATCGCGACGCCAGTATAATGTTTCGAATTATTTGAATTGTAGTATGAACTAAGAATCCCAGAATTAACGCAATCGAGTCAAGAAGTACTAGACAAGCATGAACGAATGCATTGTATTTGGAATTTGAAATTAAGCATTCAACAAGTACAAAGGTATCATTAGTTCATTCAAACACCACAAGGACGCTCCTCACAATTATGTTTAGAAGTATCGTGTAACAGAACGTAGTGTTAAAGTTGCAACGACTGTCGGACAGAGTGAAGAGTTTCAGTGCACCAAAAGCACGGCGTTGGCAGAATACTTGAAGGCCAGTGGAGAAGGCAGTTCATATTGCGGAACACACCGGGAGATGCAAATAGGCGATTGAAGACTATCTGCATGTATTGTGTAAATACATTGTAACTTCTCGTATCAAAGATGCATACCTGAAGCCCATTGTAATGTTCTGTATTACGAGTTTACAAACATGTTATTTTTAGTCACAGAAATAAAATCAATTCTTCAATTCAATTATTTAGGTCTAGTATTCTACTCAACGGCTAATTTAAGGAACATATGCTCAAAAAATGAAATTGGGAATCGCACTCACAAACGATGGATGTATTTAGTGATGCAACTGATGTATTTCCTGTTGAAGTAAAGAGTAGTTCTAAGGTGAAGGAAGAGATTAACAAAATCATTAATAAGGTAAACTTCATGTTCCTTAATCGTGAACAATGCTTTTTGTGAGGTATCTTCCAAATCGGTGGATTTCGCATTTCCACGAAGTTCGTCGGCTAGAGGTTTCATAAGGGAAGCGCAGTTCGGTATCAACCGTTCATAGAAACTTACAAGGCTGTTAAATGTGCGTAACTGCTTAATGGCGGTCGGTTCTGGGTAATTCAAAATGGCCGCCACTCTGGTTTTAGAGGTTGGTTTCCTTGAACATCAATAATGTGTCCAAGGAAATCTAGGGAGTCAGTTCCGACTTGACATTTCTGAATGTTTACAGTAATCCCGTGATTTTGTAGTCGTTCAAAGGCAAAGTCTGGATGCTGGAGATGGGATTCTCTGTCCAGACTTGCAATCAAGCAGTCATCAACATACGTATGTATGAAGTTGAGACCTCGAAAAACATCATCGATGAACCTTTGGAATGTTTGGGCAGCATTTCTTAGGCCGAAAGGCACGAGCGAAAATTTGTAAAGGCCGAAGGAAGTTATAATAGCAGTTTTTGGAATATCGTCAGTGGTCATGGGAATTCGGTTATAATCTTTAACCAAGTCGATTTTCGAAAAGACAATTGTACCTTTCAAGGTAGCTGTCAAGTCGCGAATGTGGGGCAACGGGTAAAGATCGGGAACGGTTTTCGCGTTCAGTCGCCGGTAGTCTCCAGTTGGTCTCTAGTAGTTGTTATCCTTCTTAGGGACCATGTGCAAGAGTGATGCCCAAGGGCTGCTTGATGTCCGAGTGATTCCTAGATCTTTCATATGATTAAGTCCGTTTTAAGCCAACCTCAGCTTTTCGGGAGCCAGTCGGCGCGCTTTCAAGAATACAGGAGGTCCTGTAGTCGTGATGTAATCTGTAACATTGCTGGTTACACACGACGATTTCGGTTGCGTTTGGTATATACCAGAATAGTTATTGAGTAATGGTTGATAGAATAGGCCTATCGTGTGCCTAAGTGTGACAGGAGATGATCTGCAACCGGAAAAAGAAGTTACGCACACAGATAAGTTGTTTTTTCTATCTATTAGCCTCCGTTTGCGTGTATCGATGAGTAGATTGTGGTGTTGTAGCAGGTCTTTATTAATGATTGACATAGAAGCATCTGCAATAACAAAAATTCAGTGGATGGGTTTGAGTAAACCCACATTAAAGTAGACTCATCGCTTACCATATGTGGCGATCCGTTTTCCCTTTGCCGCCTCTAAGTTTAAAACAGATTCGTGAAACCGGCCGTTAGAATCTGCCGGAAGAACATCAACTTCTGCATCAGTGTCGACAAGGTAGCGAACCTTTGTAATCACATCAGTGACGTGTAACAGATAGATATGTTCGCCGGTTAAGGTTGCCGATAACGCGTGCTGTCTGGGATGATTCTCGAAACATTTTTTATGTCAATCGGTTTGGAGTTCTGAAAACTTCAGGATTTTCTTCAATTTCGGTATTTTCCGTACTGATTATGATACCAGCAGCAGTCAGAGTTATCTGTCTCTCGTGGTCTAGAGACACCGTTTATGTGAAGGACTCATTCGAGGGATTTGTGATTGTTTACGAATACGGACGTAACCTTTGAGAGTGACAGAGTGCTGTAATGTCGTTTTATGTCGTTTGAGGTTTTTCTTTTTCACATCGAGCTCACCAATGAAGATGTCGCAAGTATTCAGAGTTCGATAACATTTTAGCCAGTAACATCTGTAATTGAACGGTGCCCACTCACTGAAATCAAATGTCAGAAAAGGTGCGAAGATATATTTGATAGAATATCGTTATATCGAGAAGTGACTAATCTAAGCTGACTAGTGGTTGGAGGAGATGTGAAGCGCAGAGTAGCCACTTGTGATATGGTGCGGATGTGTGACTGAGAGCCTTTAGTTAGGCGAGTCGAAGACTTACAGAGTTATTTATTTTGGGATTTTATTTACTACTACATTAACACCCCGAGTAATAAATATCCGGTCAATGTTTATTCATTATTTCACATCGATTATGAATTTAAAGGAGGGATTGTTCTTCACATTTTTTATTTTTCAAACGTGAATAAAGACCATTTTACCATCTTTGTCTACTACCAAATGTCAGTGATCATTGAACGACGATTTTATTTCAAGATATCTAAGAAAGAGATCACTAGAAAATAAGCCATTTTATTGATACCGTAGCCTTGAAACTTAAAGCGAAAAGTCGATTAGGTGATTAGTTTTACTTCGCAATTCATCCTTACATGTCATTGTTTAAATTCATACATGTGAATTTAGTCGCGTAATTATAAAACGGGTCGGCCACATGGGTTCTTTCGATGCATATGGTCCGAATTCGCAAGCCTTAACGTTCTTCGACCCTGAAGAGAATGATTTAATTGGAGGAGATACACAGGGACCTGATTATGACTGTTCTGATTTCACTCTGCCTTCACAGTCTCAAACACAGGCATCTCAACTTGACCCTGATAAAAATTGCTTCTCTCAGCAGGTATGTTGGTACTATACTTAGTCTTATATGTTATCAGCATGATGGGTCCAATACCATTGACGTGCTGTCCCAACGTGTTGCTGACTTAGACTTCAAAGATGAGGACATAGATGACTCTAGTGTCGACTTACCAGAGCACGCATGTGCTTACTGCGGTATTCATGACCCTGCTTGTGTAGTATTTTGTAACACCACGAAGAAGTGGTTTTGCAATGGTCGAGGCAACACCTCAGGGAGGTTAGTCAATTACGTGTATTATTTTGTTCAGTCATATCATCAATCATCTTGTTAGAGCTCGTGCGAAAGAAGTTACTTTGCACAAAGACGGACCTTTAAAAGATACTCTCTTGGAATGCTATGTATGTGGGTCAAAAAATGTTTTTCTGCTTGGTTTTGTGCCGGCGAAGTCAGAGTCTGTCGTCGTGCTTCTGTGCCGTAACATCTGTGCTAATGCCAACAAAGACATGTACTGGGATCCTGCTCAGTGGCAACCGATAATTCAAGGACGTCAGTTTCTTGCTTGGCTTGTGAAAGTTCCAAGTGATGAACAGCAAGCAAAAGCTCGTCAGATATCGGCTCAACAAATAAACCGACTGGAAGAAATATGGAAAGAAAATCCTCAGGCGGCAGTCGAGGATCTAGAGAAACCCGGTGCAGATAACGAAGTCAACCCAGTATTGTTAAGGTAAGCTTTACCCCCGAGCTCCTCATCTCTTAAAGATATGAAAATTCACAGCAGTATCGAGATGTATTCATACCTTTAGTGGAATTAGAGGCTGACTACGACAAAAAGATCAAAGAATCGCTGAAGTTGGAGAATGTTTCCGTTCGTTGGGAGACTGCCCTTAACAAACGCCGAGTGGCTTACTTCCGGATTCCAGGTGCTAACGAAGGTACATAAATTATTATATTTCAAGTTTTCTCATACATTACACCTGGATTTTTAAGTTCTCAGTCATGTATATAATTTTTTTAAAAATAGCTTGCAGATAAAACTACAGGTTTTTCAGTATCATACTGAAAATACATGGCAACGAAGTCTTCGGGTCCGTACAGTGAATCGCTCTTATGTTATAACGTTGTCCTTATGATTTCAGAGCATTTCATGAAGCTAGTTTTATAGAATAAAGTGAATGCTTACTATAATCTGTAAATCTTCCACACTAACTTTTGCCGATAGAGATTATCCTATTGGTTCGTGTATGCATTCCTTTAACGTATTTACTTTATGTGCTGAGTGATATTTGCATATGATTTTGATATATCTTCACTAATACATCGTATTACTTTCTAGGCCCAGAACTACGGATTATGCATGGGGATGAGTTGATCATTCGTCAGTTTAACAGTCCAAACGATTATTTGGTTGGTGACGGTCATGTTATCAAAGTGCCTGACAGTAAGTTTGTGCATCATATGACATATATATACGAACTTTATACAGGTGTATATTACCATTTGCATAGTCATTTTATGTGCCTAACCGTACTTCAGATTTTATCCGTATTTCTCCTGAAGATATGCTTCAAGTAACAAGTTAGTGAGCATGGCAATAATTTATGTTGTGTGTAAATAAACTAGTCATCAGGTGTTTTAATCATTCGATGACAGTGAAATTGGAATATTACAGAGAAAGCTAGTATGGCTTTTGCGCAAGGATGACACGGGGGAACCTGAACTTCCTCTAGTATAGTTCTCAGTAGCGCAAATGCATTCACTGTTTTTCCTTAGGTCCTACGTTTCTAAATACCTTCCAAGTTTTCTTGTTTTACTTATCCATATTTTATCGAATTGTATCTTCTATGGCCATTTCTGTTCCCACTAATACTGTTACAGCCTCTACCGAATTTACCCTAACAATCTCATCTCTCTGTGCTAATGGGGTATAACGACTTATACTGGTGTACGTATTTACCAAGTTCTATGTTACGTATAAATAGCTAACTAAATTCTATCATTTTGTTGGTATCTGCGTGAATTTAGATGATAGAGTGGCTTAAATAGATTTAAATATCTTCTAAAAATGTCTCACTTGTTCTGAGCTAATGCAATTAGTTTTTATTTAAAATACCGTCAAAAAATCATACTACCAAACATCAAATTTAAGTTCACTCGCACACGTGTTTGGCACTAATTGCCATTTCCAAAATAATGTTGAGGTATCCATTTCATATCATCACTACGTTCTGCTGTTATCAAAAGAAAATCCTTGTGTCAATTAAATATTGGACTGGTCAAATTGTGGATGAGCATCTCTTCCTTTTGTAAGACTACTCTTCCCATGGCAGATCGAAAACGACAATTGTCTGTAAGCTTTTTCGTAGGTTGTTACTATCTTAGTACCTATTAATAACTTGTGGGAGATAGTAGTCACAATAACTCACAAAGTTGCCTGACGATTCTCATGGGGTTTACCAAAATATACTTAGAAGTAAAGATTCATTTTTATTTGACTAGTTTCAGTGCCGTTTATTTGTAGATGTAGGTGAGGTATGGCTATATAAAGCGATTCTACTTTATGGCTGCAAAACATTACCTTTTAGGGTAGGTACTTGTGATCTATTAGTATTTGATGACATATTGCTCGCATCTGCTGGAATCACCGGGTAAGTAATAGTGAGGATAGACGCAGGGTATTACGGAATGATGATGAATCAGTCTATGCAGTTTTGAATCTTCATCAACTGAGATGGTTAGGCCATGTGTCGCGTATGCCTGAACACCGTTTACCACGGCGCAAAAAGCTGACTAGTGTTGAAGACGGTTGAAAGAAAGTTATGGTTGACTAAATCAAAGTGCGGTATCAGCGCTTGAAGTCACTAACTTCTGGTCTAAACCATGTTGGTAGATGCAGACTACTTGGTTGGAGACTGATATGGCTCAGAATCGACCACAATGGCGTAGGTGTATACACCTTGTCTAGCCTTAGACCGTAAAATTAGAATTACGAACTAATTCTACTTATATGCAATCTTTCTTTTATATATTACTATCATTAAAGTAACTATGAATTTGTTCATCTTGTGCTAATGAGGTTTGGCAACTTGGACCGATGCACATATGTGCCTGGTCCTACGTTGTAGCTGACTGACTTAAACCGATGTACATACGTACCAGATTCTACCTTATGACTGGCTGTGATGTGGATGCCAGTATATTACGGCATTGCAATCCCAGCCTCTGCCTTGGAAGTCCTACTCACTGCCTTCTCGTGGCGGGGTTGTTGTTTACGAAATTGAGGACGACAAGCGAATGTCCGGCGCTTTAACCGGATCCCAAACCAATGGTGCACATGGGCACCAGTATCCTGCAGTGGTCTTGGGTGCTGTTAGAGGTATGAGGGCGGTTATCACTTCCCGGCTGCCCACACCGTGGAAGGGTTCTTCTGGAGGTACCTGAAAAGGAAATTGGATTAGAGGTGGTCTCAGTGACCTGAGAGCGTGACCGCAGTGCCCAATGGACAACTGCCTGAGGCCCGTCGCGCACGGCCTTTTCGTGGAAGGTTTTCGACGTGTTAGCTCCGTTCTTCAAAGGGCCTTACCGCCGGAGACGGAAATCCGTGAGGTAAGGTGAGGTGTGCATTTTTAGGGTCGACCTTTTCTGACCCCACCCCTCCTTGTGGGAAGGCAGCATCACTGTCATGCTGGTTGTCTGAGGGAAACACCTTACTGCTGTCACACCTCTGTACAGTCAGCAGTACGACTTCGCCTTTGGGTTTGTTGCTTTTAGTCTTACCGCTCTTCAACCGACCTGTCTGACATGGTAGGACCTTGAGGAACGGTTGTTCCAGCCAGTATAGCTCGGTTGCTTCATCACGATAGGCAAGCCCGACCACCACGTCAAGGTAGCAACAACGGTCGGGACCAGTATCCTGCGGGAACAAATGGCGTATGAACCAATTTTCGGTCACCGGTTACCATGTGACTGCATCTCCTTACGATGCTCCACTGCCTTGTGGGTTAGACCTTTAGGTCAAAGGCTCGGGGTGTGGCCCCCTAAGATAACCACCTGCTTCGGTCTAGGAACCCGGGCAGTAACGCTGCCCACACGCAATTAATGAACTGAAATTGTGTGGCGCATATATGTTTGGCGCACTCATGTACCAATATATATGTGTTCAAATAAATAAAATAATCTTTTATCAATTGATTAAAAACTGGGTCTAGATCGCAGACCCTAATAGTCTCATCTTGATTTTGATCGGTTTCAGACGTGGTCGTTTTACACCGTTCCTAAAATGAGGTTTTTGATGCGACTGAATTATGTTTCATTTTATTGTGCTATTCTAATAAGACAATAATATGAAGTGGATTTCGCTTATGTATTTTTCATCTCTTCAATAAATTTTACTACAAGGTGATGCTTCATATTTTCTCCTTAGATTTCAGTGATGAAGTTGGTTTGGAAATGAAGCAAGTCATTGATACACCTCTAGAACCTGTGACGTACAAAATCGAATTTAAATGGAAGTCAACTCCATTCGATAGAATGAGACGAGCGATTTCTGTCGTTACCGACGAACAACACGGTTTATTACCACCATATATATTCTACCGATTGCTTGGCCAAGAATTAGATGATATGGTGTTAAAGTGCAACTTACCTAAACGCTATTCTGCACCAGACTTACCGGAGCTAAATCACAGTCAAGTGTTTGCCGTCAAAACAGTTCTCCAACGTCCACTCAGTCTAATACAGGGTCCACCCGGAACGGGTAAAACTGTGACGTCTGCATCAATAGTTTATCACTTGAACCAAATACATCAAAAAAAGGTATTGGTTGTAGCTCCTAGCAACACTGCAGTCGACCAGTTGTGCGAAAAGATTGACCGTACCGGATTAAAAGTTGTGCGCCTATGTGCAAGATCTAGAGAAGCTCTAGCATCTCCTGTCAGCCGTCTTATGCTACACATACAGGCCCAAAATGTGAAAGGTCATACTGAACTCCGAAAGTTACAACAACTGAAAGATGAGACTGGTGAACTGAGTCAGGATGATGATAAACGTTATCGAGTTCTAAAACGGGAACTTGAACGTAAGTTACGAGTTTTAACAAAACTTTTATACTATGTGTGAACTGTAGGGGCTAAGAAATACTGATTATCACGATTAGTTCCTTTTGTAAAAGCGCTAATAAAGTTAAGAAATATTTGGTCACATTAAAGACCTATATATATATATATCGTCAGAAAGATTTTGTGGAGATTGTAGTAATTTAATAGTTCAATTCACTAGTCGATTAAAGCTAGAACACCATGGAAAACCTGGAAGCACTAAAAGTCGTCCCGTCCTAGTGTGGGACTCCTTGACAGTGTGCATCCACGATCCGTCCTCCAGCGCTCCCAGGTTTTCCATGGTGCTCTAGCTTTAATCGACTCATGAATTCAACTATTAAAATGTACGATTATTGTTTATTTGCTTTTTATTTACTTAAACACATGAACATAGGCGCAACGAGGTACCAAACAGATATGCGCCACGTAAACCATTCGATTTGTGTGAGATCTGTGGCACTGCTCGGGTGCCCAGATCGTAGCAGATGGTTTTCTTAGCAGGCCCACGCCCCGAGCCTTCGGCTTAAAGGCCTGACCCATCAGACCGTGGAGCAACTTCAAGGGATACAGTCTCATGGCAACCGGTGACCACTAATAGGTTCAAACGCCATTTGTCCCCTCAGGATCTTGGAGTTCATGTGCACCATTGGTTTGGAATCAGAGTTTTCCAACTTCCCTAGGTGGACCTTCCATACCCACCAACCTGGTTAGAGCGCCGGACATTGGCTTTTCGTCCTCTCAATTTCGTAAACAATAGTATGGTCGTGTGAGGGCAGTGAGTGGGACTTTCCTGACAGTGGTTGTATGCACGTGGCCATGCGAGAGCGTTTCGAGAGGAAGAGCTGACTCTCCCCACTGTCGTCCGTACCAGAGCATTTGGGGGTTATAGTTATTGTTATTATTATTAACTGGTTATTTTCTATCAGAAAACACATTGGTATTTTCTGTGGGATTATGTAACCAAGCGTCACTTTCTGTATTTAGTTGTCTAATAAGTGTTCTTTTTTTCTCATCAGGGGAACTCCTTATGGCAGCTGATGTGGTTTGCTGTACATGTGTAACTGCTGGTGATGCACGTCTGGAGCGCTTAAGTTTTCATTCCGTTTTAATTGATGAGTCTACCCAGGCTACTGAACCAGAGTGTCTAATACCATTAATGGTAGGTTGTCGCCAGGTTGTTCTAGTTGGTGATCATTGTCAATTGGGACCTGTAATTACGTGTAAAAAAGCTGCTAGCGCCGGATTAACTCAGAGTTTGTTTGAGCGATTTGTTCTGCTGGGTATTCGACCTATACGTCTACAGGTACGTCAGATATTTTGAATCATGCATCTTCGTTGAAACAAACGCTTGTTTTTGCACGTTTTAATTTCCGAATGTAGCAAAGTGGTCTTACCAAATGAAATAACCGTTTTTTCCACACAGTAGTCGTTTGCATTTTAAGTCAGTCAGCTACAACGTAGGACCAGGCACATATATGCATCGGTCCAAGTTGCCATACCTCATTAGCACAGCAAGATGAACACCGGATTCATAGTAGTTAAGTCAATGGTGGTAATATATAAAAGAAAGATTGCATATAGTACAGGAAGAAAGAATTACTTCGTAGAAAGAGAGATATGAAGCGATTTTAATCTCATAGTTTAAGGGGAGATAGAGAGTGTATACACCTACGCCATTGTGATCGATTCTAAGCCATGTCACACAGTCTACAATCATTGGTTACGATGGTCACGCGGACACCAACCAAGTAGTCTGCATCTACCAACATGACTCAAACTAGAAGTTTGTGACTTCAAGCACTGATGCCACGATTTGGTTTGGTCGCCCCTAACCTTCTTCCAACCATCTCCAACACCGGTTGGCATTGCACGTCGTGGTAATCGGTGTTCGGGCATACACAACACGTGACCCAACCATCTCAGTCGATGAAGATTAACAAACTCGTCAACTGATTTACCATCATTCCCTAATACTCTGCGTCTAACCACACTATTACTTTTAAGATGGTAACCTGTCTCGATTCTGTATTGTATTTGAGTTTCCTAAGCTGCCGATATCTAATGGTATTACAGGCGCTTCATAAATAAAATAGTTGGACGATTTAAAACACCTGTAATAAGTTACAGTAATCATCTGAAGTCCTCGCTCGTTTCGAAAGGCAGTGTGTTTAATGTTGTCGCTGGAACTGAGATTAATGAGCTTAAGGATTCCGTAGGTTTACTGACCTGTTTTGGTTATCACGATTTTAATTCAACTAAGCCGATGAATATATCTAGCATTCTTTTCCACTCAATAGATATCGACATCCCCAAAACTTTAGCATATAATGTACTAAAGTGTAAGCAGTTAGATTAGATACTTGGGTTTCGTCTCGTTTATTTTGTTTTAGAAAGTCAGGCATCACTAGCTCTGACGCAAAAGCTTAACTGAGAGAAAATACATTCGACTGCTAAGTTCTGTCGTCGTGCGTTTGCTCGTAATAATATATTATAAATTGGAATAAAGAATATAAAATACAGATCCTATAACTCATTGTTTCAATTAATTTCTACTTGACATCCAAGTAATATCGTAAAGAGCATATTCCAATCTGATTGTTTGGTACTTCTATTGTTAAGGTCCAGTATCGTATGCACCCCGCTCTTTCGGCCTTCCCAAGTAATGTTTTTTATGAAGGTAGTTTGCAAAATGGAGTGACAGCAGAAGATCGTTGCAAAAAGATCGATTTCCCATGGCCAAATCCAGACAGGCCTATGTTTTTCTACTGCACATCTGGACAGGAAGAAATATCCGGTAATGGTGTATCATACCTAAATCGAACAGAGGCAGCAACAGTTGAAAAAATCGTCACAAAGTGAGTTAACTTAAAGATTTTTAATTTGTACTTTTGTTACTTTCTATGAGACATAAATTGTTCCCTATAAATTTAACTTATTTTGTTGTGTTAAGAACGTTTATTGTCATTTCATTTTACTTGTGTGTGGGCTGTGATACTGCCCAGGGGCCACACCCGGAGCCTTCGACCTGAAGGTCTGATCCACAAGGTAGTGGAGAACGCAAGGAGATGCAGTCCCATGGTAGCCGGTGACCAACCATTGGTTCATATGCCATTTGTTCCTCCAGGATACTGGAGCCCATGTGCACCAATGGTTTGGGATCAGGGTTTTCTAACTCCCCTAAGTGGAGTCCCCGTGTCCACCAACCCGGTTAAAGCGCCGGAAATTCGTTTTTCGTCCTCTCAATTTCGTAAACATCCCCACCACGAGAAAACAGTGAGTAGAACGTTAGTAACCACTGGTTACCGATTTAGGCCAAAGTAACCTGTTTTTTGCAATGAACTGAACCTGCTTTTGCTGTGAACTAGTTGTGGATTTTCATGCCCGTTGAATCAGCTAATACTGTTCACTATGTATTCTAAAACGATTGATAACCCATACGACATAAGGATTCGTTCCTCAAACTACCGATCAGGAAGATCATACAAGTATCTCGCACTATTTCATACATACAGACGTTAAATGATATATTTATTTACTTGAAATATAATAATAATAATAAAGCACGCCGTGAATATTAATATGAATAGTATGCATAAAACTAAAGTATTTGTGGCAAGCAATCGAGTAGTATGTCAGTAGCTAGATTGCTGTAACTTACGGATGGCAAATTTATTGTCATGGTTAATAATATCGAACAAAAGTTTAGATTTAGGATCATACAGAAATCAATTGTTTGATGAATGAATACGTTACAAAATCATTAGAAAATAGCTTCTCAGGGTCTATACTTTTAAATGTTCACCTCTTGGCACCCCCATTGTAGAAAATTTAGTTGTATAACCATGCCTAAGAGTTGATCCATGATCAATCTGGTTTGCATCGAGTTTTTCGTAATTTTAGTTTAGAATTCGCCATTGTCCTTTGTATTTATAAAGCATCATTTTAAACATAATTCAGTATCACTCAATTAAAATGGCATAAAATACTGTCAAATATTTGTTTAGCTTTCATTTTACTGTTGGCACAGTTCCCATTAACTTAAGTTTGATGTCGCTTATCAGTGTTACAATCAGGTACTTAGTATATTTTGGTGTTCTTCAATTCTATTTGACCTCCACTTTAAATTAATTTAAACTTGCTAGCCACTAGCACATGTTTCAAGTATAAACTCTGCAATTTGTTTTTCTAATTTTATTTGTTTTACAGGATGCTGAAAATAGGTGTTCATCCGAATACTATCGGAGTAATCACACCTTATGAGGGACAACGTGCATACTTAGCACATTATCTTCATTATTCTGGTTCCTTAAATGCCAAATTGTACCAAGAAATCGAAATCGCTAGCGTGGATGCCTTCCAGGGGCGAGAAAAGGATTATATCATCTTGTCCTGTGTCCGAGCAAATGAAAATCAAGGTATTGGTTTTCTCAATGATCCACGCCGTTTGAATGTTGCTCTCACTCGTGCTCGTTACGGATTAATAGTAGTTGGAAATCCAAAGGCTCTGTGCAAGGTAATGTTTTTATTTTTTGCAGTGTATCATGAGTATATTGAATTTATCTTGATAATTAGTGTTTTGGACTAGACCATTCATTGTCCTAGTGGATAATATACTTCGCAGGATTTATTTTTTTAAGAAAATACACAAATCCTACAAATTTTGCACATCAACTTTAAATCATTTGTACATAAGTCTGAAATCCTGCAGGCAATTTAACGTACGAATATGTGATTCATTAAACTTTATGGTTGTAACGTTCACCGTATTATAGAATTCATTTGCAGTGAAAGTTAACTTCGTATGAATCCTTGTCTTTCATTCTGACATGAATATTTTACTTTTCAGCAACCACTTTGGAACCAGCTGCTACACTTTTATCGTGATCAGCATTTACTCGTGGAGGGACCCTTAAACAATCTAGGTGAATACATGTTACAGTTTCCTAGACCCAAAGTTCCGTACACTTTCAAACCTGGTGGGCATTATCTAGCGCAACTATCCGCAAATCCCGCATTATTAAATAGCAGTCAGTTAAATGGGCAATTGAATACACACCCCGGAAATCAATTTAATTATCTTTCTCATGTTTCAAATCCGTCTCAACCATGTTTTGATAATCCTAATGGACCAACAGCCTTAGTAGCAGCTATGGCGGCAGCGGCTGCTGCGGCTTACTTTGGAGGATCTGGTTCAAATACGCGCCCGAATGTCTCAACCTTAGGATTACATGGGTCGTCAGCACTCAACCAACCTGGAGCAAGCCATGCTGCAGCTTATGCTGTTGCGGCTGCTGCAGCTGCTCAACATCAATCAAGTCAACCGTATTCTAGTCAAACAAATGGTAGTTCTCATAGTATGCATCAACTATTAAACCAGTCATTATTCGACCAGGTTGGGTATATAGGACCAAATCGACAATATGCAGAAGCCAACGCTAGTTCAAGTAAGTAATTCATTGAGTAATATATATATATCACCTCAGTCTCCTGTCGATCGCAAATAGAAGTTCGAGTGAAATATTTTTCGACGATTTTACTGATATGAAGGCAACCAGTAAAGTGCAAAGTTTTCTGTGGAGTCCTCTGTATTCATAACTGTTTCACGTGATTTTCTGAAGTTTATTGTAAGGATTCTAGTGGTGGTGATGGTACTCAAGACGCATTTCAACAAGCTTGATATGGCCATCGAGACCTGTTCTTCATATTCCCGACCGAAGCTGCTACCTTGACGGGGTGGTCGGGCTTGCCTATCGTGATGACCCAACCGAGCTATATTGGCTGGAACATATGTTCCTGTAGGTTCTACAATGCCAGGCAGGTCGATTGGTGAACGGTAAGACTAAAAGCAGCAACTCAAGGTCTGAGGGCGAAGTCGTACTGCCGACTGTAGAGAGGTGTGACAGCAGTAAGGTGTTTCCCTCGGACAACCAGCATGACAGTGATGCTGCCTTCCCACAAGGAGGGGTGGGGTCAGAAAAGGTCGACCCTAAAAATGCACACCTCACCTTACCTCACGGATTTCCGTCTCCGGCGGTAAGGCCCTTTGAAGAACGGAGCTAACACGTCAAAAACCTTCCACAAAAGGGCCGTGCGCGACCGGCCTCAAGCAGTTATCCCTTGGGCTCTGCGGTCACGCTCCCAGGTCGTCAAGACCAACACTAATCCAATTTCCTTTTCAGGTTCCTCAAGAAATACTCTTCCACGGTGTGGGCGGCCGAGAAGTGACATCAGCCCTCATACCCGTAACAGCACACGAGACCAAGTTGGTCACATTCAAATCCTTCCCACACCTAATACCTCTCTTATCTCCATGACTAACCCTCCTCACGTCTCTTTATCACCTCGCACCGCTAGGGCAAACGATTCGAGTACGTGGAACGCTATTCCTGGTCTTCTGAAACCACGCTCTAAACTGCGCGTAGGAGTCTGTTTATACTCTTGCTACCTCTACCACTACGGGATTTGGATCGACAACTGCATCTCTGTGCTAAGGTGGTGTGGCAACTCGAACTGATGTACGTACGTACAAAGTTCTACGTTGTTACTGGCTGACTGACTGTTCTTCATATAGGTTTACACTTAACAATCTTTAGATATTAAATATATGTAGGCTGTTTTATAATTTTTATTAGTAAAACACTAATCCAATAGTCATCTGACTGTTATAATTTTTCTTCATATCCTTTGAAATTCACTTGATATTTCACATTATTTTTTGATGATTACCTAGCTTATATTTCCAGTTTTCCAAGAAATATATGCTCTCTCAACGACAGCGTGATGTAAACTCGTATATACGAGGTCATGCATAATTAAGGGCATGTTTATCGTTCATATACTCGTTGAATTGTTGGCACTACACAGAAGAGGTTAAAATTTGAAAATTTTAGTTGCAAGCGTTAAAGCCTAAAAAACTCGCCCTTTGTAAGGATGACATCAAAGTGTTCTTATAAGATAGTTCCTGACAAAGTTTGTCACTACCTCATTCTACTGTTGACTTCTTTTATCGCTCGTTTTATCTAGATCTTCCTATGCCACTCAGCATGTTGATGCCTGCTGGTCGAATATCGAATCCTACCAACGCAGCAAATCCGTTTGCCTCTTCTGGTCATTTTGGCAATGGGAAATATGGCACCAACCTTGGGGCAGCTGCGCCACTTGGTAGATCAATACAAGCTTTGGGTCCACTAAACGTGCATCCCAACTACTCACAACTAAATACGGGAAGTACGAGAGCACCCGGCGGTCCTCTTCCTGGAAATAACGTGGTTGGTTCTGCAGCTCCTCGGTATCTTGGAAATGCACGTCGAAATGTACAAGCTAGTTCACAAAATGCTTCGGTTGGCGCTTCAAAGTCACGTCAAATTGATGGGCCCAGTAGTCTGACCAACACTTCTGTGGAACGCGGTAATACTAATACTTCCAACTCAGGTGCTGGTCTACTTTCTCAGCCTGGTTTGTCAGAATTTTCTGGAACTCAAGGCACATCTGGTCTTAGTAACATGGGTGTATTCAGTAGTCAGTCGCGTAATTCAGGACTTTCCGGTTTATCTCAGGTAGTTTAATCTTTGATACTCACATTAAGTTTTACCGATATACATGGTTGTTAGTCATAAGGATATTTGTTTCGTAGATCTTTGAATAGTTATGTATTTCTCCTAGCTTTGATTTCCTGTTCTTTTAAAGGACAAGTTAGTAGGTTATTTCCTTAACCCCAATGCAAACCTTCGTAATTCTTTGTTGAGAAAATATCATAGGTATCCGGATTTGCTAACGCTTTTGCGCAGTGCATTTGCGCCTTTAATGTTTTGTATCGGTTCACTATCAATCCATGTCCGTTTCTCGGTTTCCTTAGGGGTATTCATTGTCCATATGCAGATAAAATTTTTAATATTCACTTATTGATGCTAGTTTATTACAAATTCACTTATTACACTGACTAATCACCGACATAAAAGCCTTAAAACAATTATATAAGTTATTTCATTGGTGCTTTCTATTTAAAGTCGAATATCAAAACTCTAATTTATGTTTCTAGGAGAGCACTTCGTTGGACTTTCGTCTTGGTCAGGGTACCAGTCAAATGGACAACTTGCTTCTTTCTCAAGATTCTACATTTCAAGGTGCAACTGTACCTGTGAGCAAAGTAAATTCACAAAGGGGATCAAATTTGTTCGCTACCGGAAGCGAGGATCATACCAACATAAATTTCGATTCTGGTCTGGTTAATGGGACCGATTTAGAAAATATTGGTGTTTCTCAAAACGCAGTCAGCTGTGCGAGCAGTGGTGCACCGCTCTCGCAGTTTTAGGGATCTCATCCGGCTTAACTTTGGGCCGCGTATCAATGATCATCAACGAACATATAGTTTCTCAAGGGTGTCTGTCTACAGACATCTGCAGCGACGACGGAATAAATCGATTATTCGGAGTGCATCACTTGGAAGTACAAAAAATTAAAAAACCAACATGCACTCCGAAGGTTGCACTACTTGTTTTTAACCTCCTGACTACTAATTCGTATTAATATTTGGTTACAAGGTGTTTACTTTCGTTATAAACTCAATATACAAAGCTTTTATTCTACTAATAACCTGGTTGCCTTTCAAAAGAGGGGCAACGTGATGACGTTTGTAGCTTCTATTTAAGACTAGAATGTTTTGTCGGTTCGTACAACGCGTTGTTCCAACCCCGTCCTCCTGTAATTCGAACGCATTTTCAGATATAAATTCTTCATTTCTTCGAAAAACTGAGGGTCTTGTAGGCTGAAAACATGAATTTTTTAAAAAATTTTCTTACTATCTTTTGTTGCACTCTAAAGCCTTATGAAAGTCCGTCTTGCAAATGTACATTGCTGCCCAGTAGTATTTTTGTGTACAGTTTGACCATTCTGAAAACATGGAATGTTCAGTAGTGAATAATACTTACCGTCCCAAAGCTTCGCGCATTGTTTCGTTCTCAATCTGTCTTGCATAAGCGCCGGTATAATGCTCTCCTCTTCAACCTTCGTGATTTCTTTACTTTCAGGGTCACCTGCAGAAGGGTTGAAGTGTCAAAGTTTCAGCAACTAGCTTAACATTCGAAATTGCAACTAAAATACAGTAATACCTGATACAAATTACTAGAACAGAATTCAGTTCAGCGAGACGAAATTTAAGACAGGTATACAGCGGTGTGTTAACCTTTTTGCATCTACCACTGGGATCAGGTCGAAAGTGAATGTGTCGGAAATACCTTATCGATGGTGTCGTTGAGTAATCGCTAATGTATAGTGTGACCGCCTGATGAACAAAGTTGTAGTTAAACTTAGACTAATAAGTAATGGTTGCAACTCAGTTGGAAGGATAATTTAATCGAGTGGATTTGTTTCGTTAGAGATGAATAAAACCAGAACAGCCGAACCTTGGATTTACCGACTGTAGATCGGAACTATGGATGAGTGTTTCGGTAGAAGAGTGATGCAGTCGAAGATTGGTTCTTATGCTTCAATACATGTTTTTTAGGTCTTAAGTATTGTGTTGCCCTGGTTGGCTTCATATTAACCATTAAAGATTTCCTCGTTTTGAATCATGCGTCTCATCTTAGTTTCAAAATCGGATATACCCACTCTTGTTACGCACAAAAAACAAAGTATGTAATCTTGTGTATGAATTTTATTTCCGACTTACCTAGGCCCAATGGGCCGCTTATTTCTTCTGACGGGATCAAGGTAAATTCTACACTTTGACGTTTGGAGAAAAAGGTACCCATTTCCAGCAGTCGTCTGTTTTACTTCCTGAAAACTGTGGGATATAAGGCAGCTATGGTTCGAAACTGCAGCACTTTGTTACCATCAAATCTATCGGAAATAGACAAACATACTAAAAACTTCAGCAACTCTTAGAAGCTGTAGATGTTGTGTTTCTGCATGCAAGTCTGAACCCAGAGTTAGTGCGCTTGCACAAGTCACTCAGGATTAAGGGGGGTTGCAATCTCTAACAAGATTCATCTCTTACCTGAGGTCTTCAGTCAGCTGACTGACTGAGGTCTTCAACTTGTTCACCTGGTTTAACAATGACGCATGTGAAAATCAAGCGAACAAACTTTTCGTGTAAATATTAGAAACTACGAGGCTGGTGGGTGCTTTTTTCATACCAGTGTGTAGCCTATAGTTCTTATGGATGGATGGTGTGGTTCAATGATGGGAAAATCAGTGCACTGCTGTGAAGCACCTGGTAAGGTGCCGCATATTAAAGGCGGAAAATCTGCAAATTGCCGGATCTCTGTATAAGCGGGACAAAAATTTTTCTGTAGTCCGCCGATAAAAGGCAAGAACAGATCCCAAGTGTTTTCCATGGAACCCAGCACTTATTGGAGTGCCGTTACAATTCCTCTACTTTTTATACATTAAGACCGCAGCCCAACCCTCTGCGTTTTAAGAGGGACATCTATTAAGTTGAGTTTACCATAATGTGCACAACTCTATTACACTGAGCAGACAACTTGACGTTTTTTCTGGGCTTAGTCCTTCATCAAGAGGAGGGTCATGAGTGAAGACCATTCCGAGGTAAGTAACCACGGCATCTGCCTAGTCTTCCTTTACACTTGAGATGCACTCCTTTTAGTTATTTAATTGGGAACCCATGGGCGTGTTCTTGTCCTTTGTATAATGTATGAGGATAATCGTCTCAACTATCTGGTCACAGGTTGTGCCAATTGGCTTTTAGACTTCCGCTGGGCTGCACGGACTGTGTTAATACACTTACCTCAGGTTCACTTGTAACGCTCCGACAATTTCGCTTTTATTTTAGTAAACGTCGAACCTGACGGTCTAACTGCGAGCGGTTGTATTTTTTGGGAATGTCCAGGATATAAACGGTTGGGTTACTTGGATGTATAACTGCCGTAATTGCTCCATGCCTCTTCCCTTTGATTCATCCGATTCGATTTTCCCATGGTTCGAGCCCACAGAGTTCATCGTCTTTATGCTTGAAAAACCACAGCAGCAATGAACCTGACTAGGACAATCGCATGACCACTCCTTCTTATAGATGAAAAGTACTAACATCATCATCGTGAGTCAGAAATTAATCCAGGACAGAAGAGTGCTTCAGATCATATCTAGTGGGACTAAAGCTAGGGCAGTTTTTTATCAAACGATGTTCTCAATGACCTTATGCAGTGGTAGGGGGGCATTGAAGTCGCCTGCTATAAGACTTCGGCAATCGGTTTGATCAGGATGTATGTATGTACATCGGTTCAAGTTGCCACACCCGTTAGCACACTTAGATGAAATTGTCTAGCAAAGTCCCATAATAGTAGAGGTAGTAACAGAAAAAACTAGCCATCGAATAAACAACTTGGAAAGAAAATATTAATCAGTGGAAAGCATTAAGAGGAGTTTATAATCCCAGGATTTACGAGAAGGGAAAATATGGGTGCACCTGCCCTATTACGAACGATTTTTAGCCATGTAATTCAGACTAATCACTGGTTACAATGATAACACAGAACCCAACCAGATAGTCTATACCTAATAACATGGTCAAGTCCAACTGTCAGTGACTTCATGGACTGGTGTCACGTTTTTGTTTGGCCGCCCCAAACTTTCTTCCATACTAATCCTGCACTACGAAACATTGCCCGTCAAGGTAGATGGTGGTTGGGCATACGCAGCACATGTCCCAACCACTTCAGTTAATGGAGATTTCCTTGGCTAAAACCCTAGAATCTCGCACCATTGGTGTATGCTGTGTCTCTGAAACACGCATACAGGATCCTAGTGTGGTCATTCACTTGACATCACCTCGGCAAAATAGAGAGCCGACGAGATACACCCTCTGTGTATCTGGTGTCCCGGTGGCCAGTTCTCGTGGACTGGCAGGTGTAGGCATAGCACTAAGCATGAGGGCGGAACAAACACTGTTAGAGTGGTTTCCCGTTAACAGTCGTTTATGTGCTGTTCGGCTAAAAGGCTCCGTAAGAACTCGGAAGTATAGGGACACACGTCGTTGCTTTTTTATCGTTTCTGCCAGACTGCAGCTCGGATGAAGTGAAAGAAGAATTTTACAGAAAGTTATCTGAACTTCTTCGGAAAGCTAAACGGTCAGACATAGTACTCGTAGCAGGTGACTTTAATGCTCAGATAGGTAGCTTAAACCAAACAGAAAGGCATTTAGGTGGGTATTTTAGCATTCCGGCACAGCGAACAGATAATGGTGATCGTCTGAAGCAACTGTGCTCAGACAATCGTTTATTTTTAGCAAACTTAAATTTTAAGCATAAGGAGATACATCGTCTAACATTGCGACCCCCTACACCAAACCAACGATGGACTCAAATAGACATATTGCCATCAGTCATCGTTGGAGAGGGTCGGTAGGAGATTGTCGCTCATTCTGGAGTACCTGCTTGAACTCCGACCATGCCCTAATACGGGCACGCATCTGCTTGCGCCTCACTGGACGCAAAAAAGCCTCAGTAAAAAGACCTATTAGGACTTAATTGAGTAACCAGAAAACCATAAGTAGGTTCCAGGAACAAATGAGGTCACAATTAGGTAGTTCTGAATACGAGGTTGACCCAGATGTTGCTTGGAAAAATATACAAGCAGCTGCGGAAACAGCAGTGAGATCTATTAGTGATTTAAACCACAGGGTTATAAAAACCCAATGGATTTCTTCAAGATCTTTTGCACTGATGGATTCTCGCAAACTCATCCCATCAGGTTCTGCACACGATGAAGGTCTGATCCACAAGGTAGTGGAGCAACATAAGGAGATGCAGTCCTATGGTAGCCGGTGACCAACCATTGGTTTATACGCCATTTGCCCCTTCAGGATCCAAGAGTTCAGGTGCACCATTGGTTTGGAATCAGGGTTTTCCAACTCCCCTAGGTGGAGTCTCCATGTCCACCAACCCGGTTAAAGCGCTGGACATTGGCTTTTCGTCCTCTCAATTTCGTAAACAACGCCGCCGCGAGAAGGCAGTGAGTAGGACTTCCCTGGCAGAGGCTATATACGCGTGGCCATGTGAGAGCATTTCGAGAGAGAGAGAGAGCGGACTCCCCACTCTCGGTCGTACCAGGGCATTCGGGGGCCAATGAAGCCTACTGAATCCATGCTGAGATCTCGTCAGACACCGGACTGATCAGACCACCGACATCAGTGAAGTGTTCAACTACTTCACTCCCTATCACTAATTCAGGCGATGGTGTAAACCAATCCCGAAGTGACATTTTATATTTGGAGAGAGACGCACGCAATCATGCTTGGATTGTTGTTTAAGATTTGCATTTTTTCAGCGTCTTAACAAAACAGAACTATATCATCTGCACATTCCAAGTCAAAAATTAAATCTCGTGGTAGAAGATCAAGCCCTGGAAAGTCAAACAATGAAAGCGTGATCTCTGAATGCATGTCTATGACAGCGTTAAATAAAAATAAAGAGGATAACCTTGAAGTAACCAATTCCGATGACAGTTCGC